TTTCTTTGCTACACGAACTTGCATATCCCTCTCAAGATGTGCAAGTACTTACTTAAGTGTTTTGTGGAAAACTACAGACTTCGATTCCATGTTGTTAGAAATGACAAACAAATTAGTATGAACTACTAGAAAGTAAGCCTCTGCCTGGGGAAGTGACCGTTTCGCGTTTAGCAGTCATTTTTTGACCAACGGACTTGATGAACAGATGAATTATATTTTAACGAAGGTGCCAAATGTCACTTACTTATGCTGACTTCATCAGTTCAGCTGTTAGGCCTAGGGACTAGGTGGTTTCATATATTCAACAGTTGTCCAATAATTAAGAGATTCACAAACCCGTTCTACAGTTGGACTATTTTTTTCATATAACAGGTGTCTTTTAACTTCTGCCTTTACTGCTGTATGTAGTGTCCATACTATGCAAACAAAAACTGTGCTTCGAATATCAATGAAATTAATCACTTGTTTACCTGGTAAATACACATCCCAATAATGTTGTCGGGAAACATGTTTCTGAAAAGAAAATGAGCTTTAATCTATCTGTGGCGCTATCCTATGGTAGGTTTCTGTTTATCTGGTTGCTTTTAAATTCTACAGCCGTAATAACATCTTTGTGTAAAATGTACCTCTAATCACATCAAAAATTTAATTTCCATTACTCATCGTCTAGTTAGGTGCGCTACCTATACTAGGGCGTATACTGAAATATCGGAAACAACTTACAATTTAAAACTTTCGTAAATATTTTACGAGCCCACAACATGTTAGATATAAATCACTAGTAATGTCGTGGTCCTTATGCACCAAGTACGTTGAATTCCAGCTCCAAGTACATTTACATTGAACTATTAACTGCAAGAAGCAAACTGATAATTTATATTCTCATCGGCTTGAATTGGTAAATGATATTATGAGGTAGTTAACTTTAAGTTTTTTGAATAATCCTTCTGTTAACTACCCAAAGAGTTTTTCTGAAATGATTTCTGAGTCCTTTATAAGAAAAAGGATTTAAACTCCTGTTAATTGGTCTACTTTCAGTCACCTAATGGAAAGTGTGCCTGTTGAATTTGGGACAAGATACAAGAGAACATATTAAGGAGAAAGAGTTATAGACTAAACAAACGTCTGGTTTAATCTTACAAAATTAGATCCGAAAACACATCAGATGTGGTCAGCGTTAGGTTTTCATCATTTCCTTGGTCTGAAAGCGAGGGTTTGTCGACGGAAGCACCTTTTGAAAAGTCACATCGAAAAGTAAATTCAAGTTAATCATTTCGCGTTTTACTGGTGTGTGCATAAAAGATCGCACAGGCGTTCAATGCGATATTTTTGTTATACGGGTTTGATTACAAATCATCTTTGCAAAATTAAACGTGAGCCGCCCGCGCATTAAATGGTAACTTTTTGTCACCTAATAATTGCCCAGTAGGGCGACAACAGATTCCTTATAAAAATTTAGTTTGTAAAAGTATGATTGAGGATCTAACCCAATCAAACCATATAATAGTGCGCTCTGCTGATTCGTATTGTTTGATTACTTCTAGAATAAAGCACATGAAAGCCCATGCTATAATAATAATAATAATCCCCGCCTGAAATTCACTTTTCTGGCATCAATATTTTGCCAGGCTTCAATCATTCAAACCAAAACTTGAATCGGTTTTATACGGATTGGACTGTTCTTCAATATTCTTAGGTTCTCTAGGATCAGCACAAAATGGGCATCATGGTTACGATGGTAGCTTTTCAATGGTACAGGTTCGGCCCCTTTTCAATTACAACTCTTAATTGGAAACTATTATATGAAAAATGAACAACATATTAAGTTAGAGGTCAAAATATTTTCCCGTCTTACCCGGTACGATCACAACACTGAGAATGCATCCGATTGCTGCTCCGAGGGCATTGAATATGATTATATATGCCATAATAATGAGGCTGCTTGTGCCCTGTTCCTTGGGATCCAAACCGGCAATAACTGCATTTGAAACATAAATTGAAACATTCACAAGATATTAATACAATGAGCCCTTCGCTCACTTTCAATAAATTATCGGCAAAAGTAGCTTATGTAGCCCCACTCATATACCCCTAGTCCCAACATTTTCTCCTGCAAAATCGGTGGTTATAGAGTTTTGTGGGGTGGGGAAATAGGATAGGCAGAAGAGGAAATTTTTAGAAGTGTAAAGTGAAAAAATCCAGTCGAAGTAGCTTCCCGCGGCCGCTGGGAGCAGGTTGTTTCCGCATGTTAATTGAAGGTGTGCGCGGCGCTTCGCGCCGCGGACTATACTTATCTAACTCCAGAACGGTAAGGTGGACCACAGATTAGTTGAAGTAGACGATCTCCTAACCACCATTCCAAATTTTCGGGGAATTCAAGAAACCTGCTATTTGAAAATCGGGTTTTTCAGCAATAAGTTA